GAACCTGTGACTGGACAGACAATAACACCCACATCACCGAGAGACCCCAGAGATACTTGTCTGGGAGAGTCCAGGTGTGGAGCTCAGGCTGATGGGTAGATCACAGAGCAGTCCAACAGAAGCCTGCCTCGGGAGGGTGGAGTTCAGTCTCTGGTGTCTGAAGCACAGACCGCACAGTGGGCTCAGATAGGCTTTTGTGGTTTTGAAGTTGTAGGGATGCATCTAGAAGAACTGATTTTGAAGGCTTATTTTATTTTTATTCATAGGTATCTCTGTGTGTCTATGTGTAAGTATGTGCACGTGTGTGAGTACCTGTGAAGGCTGGAAGAGGGCATCAGACCCTCTAAATCTGGAGCTACAGGCTGTGAGTCACCTTCCATGGAGGCTGGAATGGAACTCAGGTCGTCTGGAGGAGCAGATGTGATCTTAACTGCTGAGTCATCTTTCCAGCCCCAAGAAGAATCTGCTTTAAAAGGTTCTTTAGAGGCCTAGCCACTTGCAAATGCTTAATGCATGCCTAATGGGTATCAACAGCCCTTGGCAGAGAACAGCATTGTGGGGTCTATTATGGCCTCACTGGTGACATCTAGATTCTAAACAAAACATTTTACCTTAAACACAGGTAACAAGAGAAGGCACCGATAAGGGAATGGCAGACACTGGTGTATGTCTGTCCATTGCCTTTCCTCCATCTTCTTTCTTGTCAGCGAAGTCTTCTGGTAAGAAAAAAAACTAAAAACACTGAATACAGATGTGTTTCCCAGGATCAGACAGAGCATCCACAGATGGCCCGGTCCCTAGGGACGGGGCTTCTGGGAAAGAGACTCTAGCCATCAACAAGAGTCTCAAGAGAAGACAGCTTCCCAGATGCCTGCTGTCACATCCTGTGTGTCGCCAGCAACTGCAGCATCCACCTTGTAGCCATGGAGTCACAAGACCAAGGAAACAAAGGGTCAAGGACTAAGAATTTGGAAGTGCAAGAGACGGTTATTGAAGACGTTGACCAGTAAGGAGGAAGGTAAGGAGATAAAAGGAAAGGAATGAAATCAGCACAGTCTCTTTCAAAAATAGTTGCAAATGTGAAACAAGTGAACAGGAAAAAAAATAATTTAAAAAAAATAGAAAATAAAATAAAAAAGGACTAAGCTCAAGGAAGTCCCCAGGCTGGTCCTGGTTCTTCACTATTGCAATAGCCCTGGGCCAGTTGTTTAACTTGCCTAATCTCTGGACCAGAATGCTTTTGTTCTTGAGTTTAACCATGCCCACGTTCCTCTCATCCCTAAATCTAAACCACACACTCATAAACTGCCTTACAGTTTTACTGTCAAGACCTAGTTCTCTAAGAAAACGAAGTAGGACTGGGAGATGGCCTAGATGTGGGGTGCTTGCCACACAAGCGTGAGTTTCCCAGCACCCACGCAAAAAAGCCAAGTGTGCTGGTGTATGCTTGCAATCTCAACACCAGGTGGAGGAGCAGTCAGGTGGAGCCTTGA